GGTGATGAACAAAACAGCTACATCTGGCCAAAATGACTGCGAAGATGATAAGGTTAGTTTCGTTCCATTGGCTACCTTCCTAATCCTTTCAGACTCTCTCTCTTGTCTGAAATCTTTAGAGCGCTCTGACACCTCCGACAACAGAATTTTGAAACTTATCATTAAACTGTATTTTCTACATCAGTCTGGAAAAACTATTACAATAGCTTGGCTTCCAAGCCATGTAGGCATTGATGGCAACGAAGCCGTTGACCAATTTGCCAAAGAATCTCTAAAACTACCTGAAAACAAAGATAGTAAAATCCCTTTCTCTGACATGAAACCGAAAGTAAAAGAACATATCACATCCTCCTGGTCCCAAAGTTGGAATCAACAAATACACAACAAACTCCATTACATTCAACCGAAACTTACGCCCAGGAAACCATTTTCTCTACCACGAAGAGAAAAAGTAATTTTTACCCGACTAAAAATAGGACACACGCACGTCACGCACAAACATTTGCTCGAAGGAGAGGAAGCTCCTTTTTGCGTGGCGTGCAACACAAATTTTACAGTTCGGCACATCCTAATGGAATGTGTCGACTTTAATCATGTCCGTGATAAATATTTTAAATGTAAAGATATTAAGACCCTTTTTAACATCATAGAACCTAGAAGAATTTTAAGTTTTATAAAAGAAATTGGACTGTTTAATAAAATGTGAAAGTATATAGTTGTCGTTGTCGGTGTATATATACATACGGTGTATATATACATGCATTGAAATTTGTATTGTATGTACACATGTAAATAAGCCTTTTCCATATTTACAAAAAATTTTTATAAATGTTTGTTCGTCTTTTTAGCATAATAGAAATAGTGTGATCGTTTGCGGTTGCGAGCTCCGAAAGATTCTTTATTAAAAACACGTCTGATTTTGTAGCGGTGAAACCTGATGGCGCTTAAATGACCAAAATTGTGTCGATAGTGCCGTAAAACATCTACCCAATCAAAAAAAAAAAAAAGAAAAAGACAGACTTGCAGGCAAAGTGACAGGCAAGTGAATTGGTCTGGTTGGGAAGGTGGTTAAAATGTATTAAATCCTGAAAGTAAAATTTTACATTAGGGAGAAATAAACGGTCTTATTCTTTTAACAATTGCACCTACACTATGTTTTTTTTTTTGTTGCTTTTTCAACATTTAGAAATTTGACTTTCGACTAAATTATTATTTCTTGGGCACGTGCAGCCAATAGACTATCACAGATTAATTAAGAAACTGCAATTGAAAGCAGCAAAAAATCAAAAATTTGGTTTGAGTACATTTGAACAGCTGACCGATCATAACGCACGCCGATAACTAGCTATGCAAATGGTTAACTACCTACAATAGGTAGCATATCCTGAGTGAAATGGATCGATTGTTTTGGATTGAGTTATGCAAGTAGAGAGCGAACCCTGCCATATGGCAAACAGTGCAGTATCTATTTTTGTTGCTTTTTTAATGTCTCTCAGAGAACACGATGAAGTTTGGAGCTGCTCTTCGGGAATACCTTCTTGATCGCCCTGAAGTGGAAATTCCCGGATGTTATTCTCTGTGTGATCTGAACCGCCTCTCTTCAGGTATGCATATTTTAAAATTTAGTAGTTTACTGTTTTTGGAGGGCGCCACTGGTACGTCCTAGTTCTTCAATTTCCCTCTGTTATTTTTGTCTATTTGTGTGAATTACTTTTACCCAGCACTGACTGACCATTTTTGCCGATGTGCATCTCTTTACTGCAAGTTCACTGTGGCGTTCGTAGTCTAGTGGTTAAGCTACAGACTCGTGATTAGATGAAACTGTTCCTTTGAGTTTCTGAAACTTAACTCGGCCCGTTGTTGTACTCTTGGGAAAAGCACCATTTTGCAATTGTTTTTCTTTTTGGCTCAGTCCTATTGGAGATGGACTTATATTAGATTCAGAGGTCCCCCGTCTTTTAAATAGATCTAGTCTTACAGTTGCAGATTTGTAAGAGGGAGTCAAACATACGATTTCATGTGCTTCGCAGTTGTCACTATAACTTCTTCTTCTTCTTCTTCTTCTTCTTCTTCTTCTTCTTCTTCTTCTTCTTCT